TTTGGCCGCCTGAGAGCGCCCGTACTTGGCAGATCTAACATCGCGAAGCGAGGAGGGGATCGGCAGGCGGCCGCACCGCATTCTTCGCGGCTGCACTGCTCAAGCTCTGGCCTTCCCTCCCGACCTCTTTTCCTTTCGGTCCATTCTGTGTCACAGAGTCTGTGATCTACCTGGTGCAGGGTTTCGCGCTGGCTGATGTCTCAAACGCGCTCGGATGCCGAGCCTTGAACGCGCGATTCTGCGGATGCCTCTTGAGCGTGCACGTTTGAAAAACAAGATTGGCAGATGTTGTTATTCGGTCTCCCCAGCGCGTCCGTATTTGCTGCCTGTGTTTGCACACACACACACACACCTGCGTATACACATAGACTTGTGTTTACATGTGTAAATTTATAGATGCATGCATCTATCTCTATATATATACACACGCATACGGGCAACCATACAAACAGAAACAGTCATTCTAAATAGCATGCATGCAAGCTTTTCTTCTCATCATGTGTCTTCCTCCCGATATCCTTCAAATTCCTCCCCATCCTCCCCGCCCTACCTCTTCCTCCTCCTCCTCCTCCTCCTCCTCCTCCTCCTCCGGTCTGTTTCTTTATGACCAATTCTTCCCTGTTCCACCCCCAGACGCGTCGGCGGAACGGGCCTGTCGTCTAGCTTGAAACACCCCCACACTTTGTGATCATGGAGTTTCAATTTACAACAGCGTCGAGGATGAATGACGGGCACTTTTCGAAATGTGGCTCTCGCGTAAGCACAGCGCGCATTCGTTCAAAGATTCGGAACATTTTCGCGGATGGAGCGCGGCCGGTTTTCAATAGTTGGTTCTCGCTTCAGCGCCGCGCACATGTGTTTTTTTCACAAGTTTGGCGACCGCTTCAAGAATGGAGGGCGGGGCGTTTCGAAAATGTGGTTCTGGTTTCAGCGCCGCGCACATCCTTTTTTAAAGGTTGCAACAGCTTCAAAGATGGAGGGCGGCTCCATTTCAAAATGTGGCTCTCGCTCGAACACCTCGCACATTCTCTTCTCAAACTTAAAAGTTCCGAGGGCTCGTCGGGCTAAAGTCCCAGGAAGTGCGTTCTTGCAAGAACTGCGATTTCCATGGCACTGCAGTCACGTTTGTTCGCGGTGGTGAATTCCCAGGAATGGCGTCGTGGTGCGGCTTGGGAGTGCAAGGACGCAGCGGTTACGTTGATTCGGGACTTTGAATCCCCAGGAATGGTGTTCTGGCGCGAGTGAAGACTCTCAGGTGGTTGACTTTCAATGGCCCGCCCCCGCAATGAAAATACGTTATAGTATTGCACTGGCATATTGAGAGGGAACTTGCGGGGGAAGGTTGACTGCAACATCGTTGATGCGTTTTGGGTTTACACTGGTCCTTCTCATCATCGTCTTCCTCCTCCTCCTGATCTGTTTCTCTTGATCAGATTGATCCGCTTGCTTTTCGTCCAACTCATCCTCCTCTTGGGGCCCATCCGTCCCAGAGGCCTCTTCCTCCTGAGCCTCCTCATGATCCGCACGCTTTTCCTCCTGCTCATCCTCCTCCAGTCCTTTCCTTTTTTGAACAAGTGGCACGGAGGACGTGGAGGAGGAAGGGAATGGGAGGACAAGGAACGGAGACAGGTGAGAAAGAGGGGGCCATCACAAGATATCACAGGGGGCCAATCGAGAGGGAAGCAATGGGCAACGGAGGGAGGACAGGGGAGACGGAGGACGGCGCGGTGCCGGCGCCGTGCCGTGCCGTGCTGGAATAAAGTAGTGGAAGCGGAGGGGGCGCGTTGGCTTGGAGGCGAGGCGGAGCCGGAGTGGCTGCGGGGGGCGCCGCGCCATGCCAGAAAAAAGTGGTCGGGGCGGAGGTGGCGCGATGACTGAGGGGCGAGGAGGAGCTGGGCTGGCTGCGGGAGTCGAGGAGGAGAAGCTGGGCTGGCTGCGGGGGAGGGAGGGGGGCGCGGTGCCGGTACCGGTGCCGATGCCGTGCCAGAGTAAAGCAGTCTGGGCGGAGGGGGCGCGCTGGCTTGGGGAGGAGGAGGAGCTGGGCTGGCTGCGGGGGAGGGAGCTTGGCTAGCTTGTAAGGAGGGGCTGCGGGGCTGGGAAGGGGGGGCGCGGCGTCGGTGCCGTGCCATGCCAGAATAAAGCAGTCGAAGAGGAGGGGGAGCGCGCTGGCTGGGGGGGAGCCGAGGAGGAGGAGGAGGGGAGGAGGAGGAGGAGGAGAAGGAGAAGGAGAGGAGGAGGAGGAAGAGGAGGAGAGGAGGAGGACTGGGCTGGCCGCGGGGGGGGGGGGTGCTCGGTGCCGGCGCCGGTGCCGGCGCCGGTGCCGGAAGGAAGAGGTCGTGGCGGAGGGGGCGCGCGGTCGTGGGGGCGAGGAGCAGTTGGGCTGGCTGCTGGAGGGCAAGGGGGGCGCGATGCCGCGGCTGGGGGGCGAGGAGGAAGCAGACCGAGATCTCCTCTTCCTCCTCCCGTTGTCCTCCTCCTCCTCCTCCTCCTCCTCCTCCTCCTCCTCCTCCTCCTCCTCCTCCTCCTCCTCCTCCTCCTCCTCCTCCCTCCCCCTCCTCCTCCTCCGCCTCCTCCTCCTCCTCCTCCTCCGCCTCCTCCTCCTCCTCCCTCGCCTCCTCCTCCCGTGGCCGTGCCTCGCCGCTGCCGTGCCGTGCTGAAATACAATCGTCGGAGTGGGCACATGTGCATGGAGCAACTCCTCCCCGGCGCACCCCCAGACGTGTCGGTAGGGCGGACCGGACGCTTCGCTTGAGACTCCCTCCCCATGAAGCTTGGAATTTGCAAGAGTTTCTGAATGGGGCTCTCGACTACGCGCCGCGCACATTCATGTTAGACTTGTGCGACAGATTCAAGGGCTCGTAAGGAGGAAATCCCAGGAATGGTCTTCTGGTGCGATTTAAGATTGTCAGGGCGCAACAGTCACGTGCGTGGAAGTCCCAGGAATTGCTCTACTGGCGCGACTTACGATTCTCAAACGCTTGTCTGCCAATGTGACATGTATCGCAATTCTTGGAGCGAGGCTTCATTCCAACATCGTTGATGCGTCTTGGGTTTACACTGGTCCTCCTCCTCCTCCTCTTCTTCCTCCTCCTCTTCCTCCTCCTCCTCCGCCTCCTTCTCCTCCTCCTCCTCCTCCTCCCACTCCGTCTCAGCCTCATCTGCTCCAGAGGCATTCTCCACCCCCTCGTCCCAAGTCCGCAGGGGCGCTTGCAGTGCCAGCCAGGAGAAGGTTGCAAACAAGCCCCCCTCCCCCCACCCACTGAGGCAAACCCAGCCTCACAGTGTCGTGCTCTGGTCGGGAAATATCCTGGAGGCGCCAGCACCTCCGCAGGGGAGGCCCGGCCTGGATATAGTGGAGTCCGGTTCCCCCGTTCTGGCAGCTTGGGCTCTGATTCAGAGGTTGTGGGGATGGGCGGAGAATGCGGACGAAAACGTGGACGGTGCGGATGCATAAAGATGGACGACGATGAGGGAAAACAACGACAGGGCAAGGCCGGGTCCACGCCCCTCGCTCGCCCCTGTCTCCCGCCTTCCCCGCCGCAGCCTTGGCCCAGGAGGTTTCGATCCACATCGTACTCGGAGCAGGGCGAAGTGAGACGACGGCAACTTCAGATTTGCCCCCAGTCCCCAGACCCGTCCCGGGGTCCAAATGCACCAGTTCTCCGAGTTGCGGCCAGCCGTGGCGACGAGTGGTCCGCCTGAAGGCCACCCATCGTTGTCTTACCTCGCCCTCTCAAAGAACAAAAAACTGCATAAGCCTAGACTGTCGGACGTCCGCCTGGACTTTTTTGCATCGGCGCTGGGCCTGGCGCGCGGAGCGCGCCAGGGGCGGCGTCAAGGGTCCTGCGCCGATCCAGGAAGTCCGCGCGGACTTCCGAAAAGGTTATGGTTATGCCGTTTTGCTGTTCCTCTGTATCTCTACGCGTCTCTCACACGAACTTTATTCCGCATTCCTCGGGGGCGACGATGGGGGATGATAGGCTGAGGGGGGAACGCATCGACCCCCCATCGCCCACGGATCGCCGAGTTGAGGGGTCTGATGGCCCCACCCCGCCCAGGAACGTGCGAGTTCGCCATCGGAGGCCTATCGCCGATTTATCGGCGATGCATCGCCGCTTCCAGGTCGATGGCTCCCCTCCTGAGCAGGTCACCCCTGAGATCCGACTTGCAAACATAACAGCATTCAGCGAGAGATCCCGACCAGAGCCCCAGGCCCCATCTCTCTGCGACACCTTTCGAGCCCGATCGACCTGGGGTGGCCCTGGGGCCCGAAGCTGGGCGAGTTAAGCGCCCGGTGCGCAAAAAGCGCAGCGCCCGGAGCTCAGGCATCCCCCTTCCCACGGAGGGCCCCCCCCCCCCTGGAACGCGAACGCACCCCCGAGGCCGGGAACGCCGCCGAGGCTCCACGACGGCGTCCGCACACCTCGAACCTCGAAGACTTCGGACCGCGGAGGTCCCCCCCCCCCCCCGATCGTGGCCCCTCGATCCCCCGCCTGCGCACCTCGCGATGCGCCACGCCGGCAGCTTCGCGGCGGCGGCCCTCCTGCTCGCCGGCGCCGGGGCGGTGCAGCGGAGCGTCGGCGGCCTCGGTGCGCCGGCGGGGCCCGCGGCCTCGGCGCCGGCCGCGGCGGAGGGGCGCAGGGAGAGCGGCCACCCCAGTGGGCCGAGGGCGAAGAACAGCAAGCGGCGTTCGTCGGCGCTGGCGCAAAGCGCCCTCGTCGTCGTCGCAATTAAGGCAGGATGACGATTAATAAATGACCGGGGGTCGTGTTCACGCGGAGGCGCCCGGGATGACGATTAGAAAAAACCGGCCGCGGGCTGGAAAACTATTTTTTAAAATCGTTCTCCTCCAGTCAGAAACTTGTGCAGAAATAGCAGGAAACTATTTTTTTAATAGTTCCCCCCCATTTTGTTTAGTAATCGTCATCCCGCTACGGGGGGGGGGGCTTCGTGAGGGGATGTGCCCAGGAGGCTGCTGCAGACCCTGGAGGGTTCCTTGCCCGATGAGGGCGGCGGTGACAGCCATGGCCAAGACCCAATTGGAGCTCCACCAGCTTCAAGACCCTGGGTCCCCCATCTCCAGATGCCTCCTCGAAGACCCTCACCGTAAACTTCTGGAGCTCCGCGCGGCTTTCTTGGATCGTCGGTGGGCCCCCCTTGGCGGCGCCAGAGGGGGGTCAGCGGCGATCCGACAAATCCGCGCGGACCTCCGAACGTTCACGTGAATGCCGCTTGCTGCTGCACTACGAGAGGAGAAGGCACCGACACCGCTGCCCTTCCCTCGCTTTCGCCTTGTTGGGCCGCCCGGGAGGCCCTCGTCGCCGCGGACGGATTCGCTTCGAAATTCTGGTCCGAATGCACCCCAGGAGAGGTCTGGGGAGTAGAGGTATCGATGTCTTTCGGTTTCACCAGGTTGGCTGACGGGACTCGAGACTGCTGGGCACGACGTCGCGTGCAGCATGGAGGGGGAGTGCATCGAGGGTTCTGGCCGGGGCACCTGCTACGTGATGGTGGATGCCAGCAAGGAGTCCGTCCCACTGATCAGCACCGACACGGGGTACGAGGTCACCTTCTCTGGGTCCGCTTGGTTCGGGCCTGCGTTGAGGTTCAAGGAGAGCTCGACCAAACCAGAATAATGGGGGAATTCAGTTTGAAGAGGATGTTTCCTCGGAAGCATAATCCTGAACCCAACGTAAATAATGACCTAAACATGTTTGGGTTGGTTCGGGTTCCCTGCCCTCTCAGGAGTACCGCGACGCAGCCCAGAACCTCACTAGTGACCACAACATCACCGTCGAAGGACATTCGGCGTCGTCGCACTGGAACCTCTGCTGGAAGCCAGGGCAGATATCTGACTGGCAGGCTAGGGCAGGGCGGAACACCGGCGTGGAGGATTACTGCTACTACGTCAACGGCTTGTGTTTCTTATGGGCGTCTCCTTGCACTGGCGGGTGCTCCACACTGGGTGCTCTGACGGGTCCTTTGGCGAACCCGCTGTATGCGACCTTCTGCCCTGCCGGTCTGCGTTACGCCACCGACGCAGAGTGGACGGCTGCCGAGCCTACTTTGTATGCAAACAAGGAGGAATTCCACGCCAAGTGTGCAGCCGAGGTTCTTGACCCAGATTTCAATCACTGCGACCTGTCGAACACTTTCAAGCGTGTGCCGAATGGCGGGTACGAGGAACAGATCCTGGTATGCGGGGACGCCCAGACGCCCGCGCCGCCGGCGCCCACGCCGGCGCCCGCGCCGGCGCCCGCGCCAGCGCCCAGCCCACCCGCGCCAAGTACACCTGGCACTGGCGGTGGTGTGTCAGCCACGGGCGATCCCCACCTGCAAAATGTGCATGGTCAGCGATTCGACTTGATGAAGCCAGGCAAGCATTTCCTCATCAACATCCCCAAAGGAGAGCTTGAACACCAGTTTCTTGTTGTGCAGGCTGATGCGCGCCGACTGGGGGGGTGCAAAGATATGTATTTCCAAGAACTGAATATCACAGGGTCGTGGGCAGAGGCGAAGCAAGCTGGAGGGTACCATCACACCGTAAAGCATCGTGCGGCTAGGACTCCTGAATGGGTCGCGTTGGGTGCGCTTGAGTACAAAGTCGTTCATGGACATACGAAGGGTGGCCTCGAGTATTTGAACTTTTACGTCAAGCATTTAGGGAAAGCTGGGTTTGCTGTCGGAGGTCTGCTGGGTGATGACGAAAAACTCCGGGGCCACTCCAGGGGCACAGGTCGAGATCTAGCTTTGTGGGTTCCATGATCCCACCCCGCGCTGGCCTGGCCCCGCGAGCCCTTGGGCACCACAGGTCTAGATCTGGACCCGTGGCAGGACCCACAGGTCTAGATCTAGACCTGCGGCCCCCCGGCAGGTCTAGGCCTAGACCTGCCTGGCTCAGTCTCCCGCTCGGCGGGCATGGCCTCAGAAGTCCTTGCACCCCACAGGTCTTAGCTCTAGACTTGTGGCGGGGCCCAGCAGGTCTAGATCTTGACCTGCGGGCCTCCTCCCCTCATCTCCCCTCTGCCCCCATGGCAGGTCTGCTGGGCGATGACGACCACACGGCGGCAGCAACTCCTTCGGGGTCATGTGCTCGGCGCGGTGTAGCTCTTTTGGAGTCAGATCCGAACATCATTGGTCCCTCCATGAGCTCAGTCGCAGCAGCGAGCTTCGAGTGATCGCGCGGTCAGTTCAAGGTGGCTCAGTGGCAATTCGGACGCAGCAGCGAGGTTTCCCTCTTGGATCTCTTGAGAAAATTGAAGGGCGCCAGTTGCCCTCCCACCGCCGCAAGGACCCGCGATTGTCCTTGACCGCGGGCGGTCGCCGTTGCCATCGTCGTCGTCGTCGTCGTCGTCGTCGTCGTCGTTGGTCGTTGATCGTTCGAGTTTATGTCAGTGCTTTTCTCCCTCTGTGGAACTCTGGGCCCCGCGTCGGCCTGATCTCGTTGGCTCGTTGGCCCTGACAGGTCTAGATCTAGACCTGTGTGGCAGATCTCACGGGTCCGGATCTGGGCCTGCGGGCCCTTCTTCCTCCCAGGCCCGCGGCGGCTTTCAAAGGGAGCCCCGAGGTGGCCCCAACGGATGCTACAACGGGGAGGAGGAGGAGGAGGAGGAGGAGGAGGAGGAGGAGGAGGAGGAGGAGGAGGGGGCTTTTCGGAGGATCCCCGTCGCCGCGGCTGGGTCCGCCTCGATCTTCTGGTCGGGGGGGGGGCCCTCACGACGTCCCCGGGCCACCCAGGGGCGCGAGGCTGGCCGCGTGCCCGCGCGCCGCGGCTGTGGCCGCGGGGCTGTCCGTCTCCAGGGGGCGGCGCGAGGGCGCGAAGACAGGCGCGCGTCGCACGCTGCGGGGCGCGATGCGCGACGTTGGGTGGTGCGTATTTCCACGTGGTCTGGCGCGTCCGCGACGCTGTGGTGGAGGATCTCGCTCTGGCGTGAAGGTTATCCCTGGGGGCCCCCAGACAGGTCTAGATCTGGACCTGTGGGCCCCCGACGGGGCTTGGGGGGCCGGCAGGTTCGTTGGGGGGCCCACCGGTTCGTTAAGGGGGGGCCTTGGGGATGCCCGCGCTGATTACATGTAGGTGGATATATAGTAGCCGGAGCTGTGTACCGTCAGGATCGGTCTTGTTTGGATCCGAGGCAGCTGCTTGGCCATAAACTTATTCAAGCTCAGTACAATTGGATGCCACGTGGGCCAGATCGGCCCTGGCAGTCTCTGGTATGACCCAGATGATCCCACCTGTGTCATCTCGGTCGCAGTAGTTTCCAGATTACCCAATCAGTACCCACAGGATCGGTCTTTTTGGGATCCGAGGCAGATGGTTGGCCATCATCGGGGCGCAATCGGGTACACATTGGGTCATATTTGCCCTAGTAGTGCACGTTGTGACCTCAGTGGTACCACTCGGGCACTCTCGTCCGCAGTGGTTTCGAAATGACTGAAGTGGTCCAACAGAAACGTTGATTCGCGTACCGCTTTGGTCGTGCCGATTGTAGTCGTCCCTGGTGTGACTCAAGCGGCGAACCAGATGCTCGCAGACACAGGGAGACAGCAAAGTGCCCAGCGCGTGCCGAATGCACGGGCCAGGACACCACCAAGCCTATGTCAGAGTCCGTCTGGTCTGGGGGCTGCCTGGGCGGCAAGGCTGGTGGCAACAGAGGATTCTACAGGACCGGGGGACACGCCACTCGGCGCCGAGCAGCACAGTGGCGGATATTCAGACTGGAGCCCCGAGGGCCGCCAAGACAGCCCAGGTGCCCCCCAAAATGTCACAGGAGGCCATCCAGACGATTCCAGGGGAGCCCGCGCGGGCCCGAGAGGCTCCGAGCTTAACCCAAGACCTCCCCAAGGAGCTTCCAGAGACCTCCGCGTTGTTCCAAAAACCTCAGGAATTCCAATGCCGAGCGCGTATTTGGACAAGTCCTCATTCTTTGGAGCCAGATGCCTCTCCCTTCTCTTCCCCCCTCCCTAGCTTTGTTCGAAAAAGCGCGCCCGTGGAACACTCCTTACTAAGAGGGGGGGGCCCAGCTTCAAGCTACCCCCCCTCTCCCTTGGAAAGGGGGGGGGGCTTCCGAAGCTACCTCCCCTATCCCCCCTTTTGTGGACATGTTTTCGCTGGGGGGGTCCTGGCTAAAGGAGGGGGGGCTTTGGAAGCTACCCCCCTCCCTTCCCCCCTTGTCGGGGCCCATGGTCAGCCCAGGCTCCCCTTTCCAACGGGGGAGGGCTTCCAAAGCTACCCCCCTTCCTTTTGTATGGATTTTGTAGCTGGGGGGTCCCTGGCTAAGGGGGGGGGAGGGCTTGGAAGCTAGCCCCCCTCCCCTTCTTTTCGGGGCCCGGGATAGCCCGGGCTACCCTTGCCAAAGGGGGGGGGGGGCTTCCGCAGCTTCCCCCCCTCCTGTTGGCATTTCCAGCTGGAGGGCCCTGGCTGAAGCGGGGGCTTCGAAGCTACTTTTCATTTTTGGTTTTCGGCGCCCCTTTGGTTTTCGGCGTACTTGTGGTTTTCTGCGTCTCTTTGGTTTTCGGCGCCTCTTTGGTTGTTCGGTGCCCCTGTGGTTTTCGGAGCTCCTTTTGGTTTTCGGCCGCCTGTTGGTTTTCTGCGCACCCTGTTGCTGTCGGCGCATCGTTGGTTTGGGGCGCCCTCTTGGGTTCTGGCGCCCCTTTGGATTTTAGTCGGCGCCCTTGTGGTTTTCGGCGCCCCTTTGCCTTTCGGCGTTCTTTCGGTTTCGGCGCCCCTTTGCTTTTCGGCTCACATTTGCTGTTCGGCGCCCCTTTCATTGTCGGTGCATTTGTTTTGAATTGTTTGTGTTCGGCGCCCTCTTGGTTGTCGGCGCCCCTTTGGTTGTGCGGCGCCCGTCTGGTTTTTTAATGCATCGTTGTTTTTCGTCGCCCCTTTGGTTTTAGGCGACCCTGCGCCATTTTGGATTTCGGCGTCCTTTTTGTGTTCGGCGCCCCGTTGGTCTTCGGAACTCTTGTTGTTTTCGACGCCCCTTTGGTTTTCGGCGCCCTTGTGGTTATCGGTGCCCCTTTTCTGGTTTGTCGGCGACCTCTTTGAGTCGGGCGCCCTTTTCTTTTTCGGCGCTCTGTTAGCCTTCGGCGCCATTTCTGGTTCTCGACGCCTTGTTAATTTTCAGTGCTCTTTAGTTTTCAGTACTCCGTTGGTTTTCGGCGCCCCTGTTGTTCTCGGCGTCTCTTTGGTTTTCGGCGCCCTTTTTGTTCGGCGCTCCTTTCGTTTTCGGAGCCTCTTTTGGGTGTCGCCCTCTTGGTTGTCAGCGCCCTTTTGGTTTTCGGCGCCCCTCCGCCCCTTTGGTTTTTCGGCGCCTCCTTGGTTTTCGGCGCACCTTCGGTTTTCGACAATCCATTGGTTTTCGCCGCATCGTTGGTTTTATGCGTCCTCTTGGTTTTACGGCGCCTCTTTGGTTTTTGGCGTTTTTTTTTGTTGCTTTCAGCGGCCCTTTGGTTTTCGCCGCCCCTTTGGTAGTCGACGCCCCTTTAGTTTTCAGTGGCGCCCCTTTTTGATTTTCGGCGCACCGTTGGTTTTCGGCGCCCCTTTGTTTTTCGGCGCTTGTGTTGTGTTCGGCGCCCGTTTGGTGTGCGTCGCTCCTTTGGTTCTCGGCGCCCCTTTGGTTTTCGGCGCCGCCTTGGTTTTTTCGGCGCTCGTTTGGTTTTAGGCGCCTCTTTTTGTTTTCGGCACCCTTTTTTGTTTTCGGTACAACTGTGGTTTTTGGCGCCCTGTTGTTTCTCGGCGCCTCTTTGATTTTTGGCGCTCCTTCTGTTTCGGGTGCCTCTTTGCTTTTCGGCGCCCTTCTGGTTTCTGGCGCCCCATTGATTTTCGGCGCTCTTTTAGGTTTCGGCGCCGTTTTGGTTTTCGGCGCACCTGTGGTTTTCGGTGTGTTCTTTGGTGATCGGCGTTTTTTTGTGTTCGGCGTCCGTTTCGTTTTCGTCGCTCCTTTGTTTTCGGTGCACCTTTGGCCTGTTGATTTGCGGCGTGCTTTTGGTTTCCGGCGCCCCTTTGTTTGTCGGCGCCTTTTTGGATTTCGGCGCCCGTTTGGTTTTCGGCGCCCCTTTGGTTTTCGGCGTCCCTTCGGTTTTCGGGACCTCTTTGGTTTTCGGCGCTCATTTGGTTTTCGGCGCCCGCCCTTTTGGTTCTCGGCGCCCCTGTCTGGTTGTGCGGAGCCCCTTTGGTTTTCGGCGCCCTGTTGGTTTCCGGCGACCTCTTGGTGACTGGTACCCTTTTCGTTTTCGGCGCTCCTTTTGTTTTTCGATGTCCTTTTGGTTTTCGGCGCCTTGTTAGCTTTCAGCGCATCTTTGGTTTTCGGCGCTCCTTTCTGTGTTCAGCGCTCCTTTGGTTTTCGGCACCCTTTTGAATTTCGGCGCCCGTTTGGTTTTCGGCGCCCCTTCGGTTTTCGGCGCTCCTTTGGTGTTCGGTGCCCTTGTGGTTTTCGGCGCCCCTTTGGTTTTCGGCGTTCCTTCGGTTTTCGGCGCCCTTTTGGTTTTCGGCGCCCCTTTGGTGTTTGGCGCACTTTTGGTTTTCGATGCTCCTTTTGGTTTTCGGCGCCCTTTGGTTTTTGGGGTCCTTTCGGTTTTCGGCTTTGCTCAGGTTTTCGGCGCTCCTTGGGGCCTTCGGAGCATATTTGGTTTGTTGGCGCTTCTTTGGTTTTCGGAAGCTTCATTGGTTTTCGGCACCTTTTTGGTTTTCGGCGTTCTTTTGGTTTTCGGCGCTCCTTTGGTTTTCGGCGCCCCGGTGCTTTTCGGCGCGCTTTAGGTTGTCGTCACGTCTTTGGTTGTCGGCGCCCTTTTGGTCTTCGGCTGCCCTTTGGTTTTCGGCGCTCCTTTGGTTCCCTACCTAGGCTCTGCCTAGAAGGGTTCTTACTTTATTAGCTGAAAGGGGCCGGGCAGTGGGGCTCGCCCCGGGCGGTTCCCCCGGCATCCGCCCCGCGGTTCCCCCAGTGACGTTCCCTTCGCTTCGCGTTGCTTATCTCATCTTAGCTTAGCTTTAGCTTAGCTTTAGCTTAGCTTCAGCTTAGCTTTAGCTTAGCTTTAGCTTAGCTTTAGCTTAGCTTTAGCTTAGCGTTAGCTTAGCGTTAGCTTAGCTTTAGCTTAGCTTTAGCTTAGCTTTACCTTAGCTTTAGCTTAGCTTTAGCTTAGCTTTAGCTTAGATTTACCGTTACTACTAATTATGTTTTCCTTGGGGCTCCAACTCCTAGGTAGGGTCGCACTGGGATAATTTTCAGTACCCTTTTGGTTTTCGGCGCCCCTTTTTGGTTTTCGGGGCACCTCCGGTTTTCGGCGCCATTTCGGTGTT